AGACTAAGCAGACATAAATAAGAGATGTTATCCTGAAAGACAACCAGACTCCTTCAGGAATTATTCCAGTTTGCAAAATAAAAGCTATACAGTCCCCAGAAAGCATCCTTTGTATAAATACAAGTATCTCAATCCATTCTAATGCTCGGTAGTTCTTGAGAGACAGCCTTCACATTTGGCTGTGATCCTCTGGGTCCCCAATGTTCACTGTGAGACCTGGCCTATTTTAGCTTTAGGTAGTTTGTACTTCAGATTCAAAAAAATAATCATGATAAATGCGTGAGACAACAATTAGTGTGCTTTTCAGGTGAGAAAACTATAGACACGACAAAACACTACAGAAAATCACAAGTCAAAGAAAATCCCCGAGTTAGGTTACTTAGATGGCACGAAGATGCTAAAATCAAACTGAACTGAAGCATCTTCCGTGGTACCTCAGAAGTTCCCGTATATTCCTCTGATAGAGTGATGCTGCCACCTATTGTGAAGATGAACCTAAGAGACTAATTTCCATTCAATAGGCAATGTTTGCAATAATTACCCCTTGTTTCTCTTTCTTCTATTAAAAGTACATTCTTCTGAAGCATCTGCTACTGCTCATTGCTGGAGACAGGAGGTAGATATGGGTGCACTTTTGACCTGGCCAAATAAAGTTTCTCATACAATCTGATCTCTAATCTACTCAGATGCACAGCAACGTAAAGAACTCAGCTGTCTGCCACTGTTACCTCGAAGGCCGGATCAAAACTTGAGCCCTGTTCCTCTACCCCATTAGCCACCGAGGCACAGAGCAGCCATGGACAGGAGCAAGAACACTTTCAGATGGGCTTTTCACAGAATCACAGAACGTTAGGGATTGGAAGGGACCTCGAAAGATCACCTAGTCCAATTCCCCCTGCCGGAGCAGGAACACCTAGATGAGGTTGCACAGGAAGGCGTCCAGGCGGGTTTTGAATGTCTCCAGAGGAGACTCCACAACCTCTCTGGGCAGCCTGTTCCAGTGCTCTGTTACCCTCACTGAGAAGAAGTTTCTTCTCAAATTTAAGTGGAACCTCCTGTGTTCCAGTTTGTGTCCATTACCCCTTGTCTTTTCCTTCCTCCTTCCCTTTTTTGAGGAGCCCAGGACTGTCAGGTAGCACCTGGATCCTGTCCATGTAACCAAGACAGCACCTGAGCCCTAGTAAGAACTCAGGGCTACGCCTTCAGGACACCTCTTCTTTCATCCTCGCAAGCACAAGCGCAGTCCACACATCCCTTATATACACTGTGTCTAATGGCAGCGGCTGCAGTTACCAGCCCCGAGCAGGAGGGACTATTGCCCCAAGCTGCCTTTTTGTGTGTGCAGAATTTAGGCAACCCTACTTCAGGGCAGCAGCTGCAGGAGGCCCAGATCAGTGCACCTCTAGAGGCAGCCACGAGCAAAACCAAAACAAATGACCACACTACCTCCATCTCTCTACAACCGAAGTGGCTCGGCACTGGTTCGGTTTTGCTGTTCTGTTAGCCTTTCTGTGCCTTTTACTGCCCATCTGCCTGGGCACCACACACATGTCCTCTGTTCCTTCACCTCTTCAGCAGTATCAGCTAAGTGAAGACCCAGGCATTGGGCCATCACTGCCACCCTAAGGTCCCTTGGCTGGGAAAATGAGGCCACCTCTTCACTCATATGCAAGCAGGGGGCAACATTGCACTCCCTTACGCTCTCCTCTTTCCAACCCTGTCCACGCGTGCCTCAGCATTCGTTTTTTTCTTCCAGCTTTAGGCACCAGACGGTTGGTAGAAACAACAGGTTTCCACCTGCAGCAGCACTGCCGCAGGCAACGCAAACCAGGAGCAGTAACTCCGGGACAGCCTGGGTAGCTGGTCGGGCCTACCAGCCAGTGGGATTTTCTCAGTTATCTTTAAGGCATTCAACTGTTTCCAAGCCACTCAGTGGGAGAGAGGACCTCTCCCTTGAGCTGCAGGTGTAGTTGAAACACATCACCCAGACAGTAATGCTGTAGCAGAAGACAGCGAGGTGCGAGTGCTGTCAGGTGTCCAGCAGAACAAGCATCAGAAGAACAGGGCATTTTATACTGTTTGCTGTGCCAGAGGGTGTGCATTTTCACATTTTTGAGTTGATAGATCCAACCAGGACACATTAAAGTCAGGGTTACTTGCAGCATGGAGGCAAACAAGAGCATCAGCAACCTGGATGGCACAGTAAGCAGCAGACTGCATTTTCAGAGTAATTTGGTAACTTACAAATTCCTTGGCCGGGTGTCCAAGGGAGGGGACACAAGAGACTTGCAGAAATGGAAGCTGTACGATGATGACTGCATGCTACCTTGCTTCAATACCCCCCACTGTTATGGGAGCTGCCTGAGGAAAAGAGGTCGGGTTCATTGGCAACTTTGAGCTGTCTCACCACTCTAGTTGGTTTCTGAGGAAGCAGGCTGCTCTGGGTAGTAAGCTGGGACAGATCCAAGGCAGTCTGTGGTCCTCAGCTCTGCAGATAAACTGCTGCTAAGCAACAGGAATTAGCAGCACTGTCTGTATAGCAAAAGCAGGTGACAGAGTAATTCGGACCCTTCTCTTTCTCATACCTAAGCACACACAGGTACCCCATTCACAGAATCACAGAATCGCTCGGTTGAAAAAGACCTCTGAGATCATCATGTCCAACCATTCCTGTCTACCCACTAAACCATATCCTTAAGTACCTTGTCTACCCGCTCTTTAAATACATCCAGGGATGGTGACTCCACCACCTCCCTGGGCAGCCTGTTCCAGCCTCTGACAATCCTCTCAGCAAAGAACTTCCTCCTTATCTCTAACCTGAACCTCCCTTGGCACAGCTTGGTGCCATTTCCCCTTGTTCTAGGGAAACATGTTCCTTCATGTCAGACCCTTCAGCTATAACCTGTACCCTACTCCTGGCAACTTCTCTTGTCCTTCCATCTATTTTAGCAGATGGAAGAAAGATCTCACTTTCCAGCTACTGCATGACTAGCACATGCGTTATCTGCGCTGCAGTCAAAACGCCCCATGTTTAAACTGGGTTTTAGCCCAAATCCAGGAGCCATCAGAATATAACACAGGCTTAAGTGTTCTGAAAGAGCGTAATGTCAAAGTCCCAGGTCTATCACACAAGGTCCTCCTCCTTCTCCCAAGGCACCTCTCTCTCTCTCAAAGAGGTTTAAATCAAGAGACAGTATCCCGAGTTCAGATACAAGACTGACCTTACACTTGCGTCAAGTACTCTCAGCTTTGTCTTAAAAGTGAGATCCCAACCCAGAATGGAAGCTTGCCAAACCCTTCTGCGATCCCATCCCTACACCCAGGGGCAGAGCACTGCACTGACTTCATTGCCCTCGGTGATCAAGGACAGTACTTGCACACAGGTACTTTTTTTTCTTTTTTTATTGCTGTTAATTCAAGGAAAAAGGTTGCATAAAATCCAATCTCTTCTAGAAATATAAGTGACCTTTCCAGTACATTTCAAATATCAAAGTATATGGTAAACATACAAAGAAAGAGAAGGTAACATACCTCCTATTTACAGTACAGTATTTTAAATCATAAAATAAGTTCCATAAAGTACAACTGGCAGGTAATTCACAATACAAGTCCATTGGTGGTTTAACACCCTCACTTCAACTCAAACGCAGTTCATTCATTTCAAGTGGTCCAAAAATACCCAGATCAAATAAAAATTTTAATCAAAATAATTTTCATTTACTACTTAAACTTTTTGTTTAAATTAAAGCTTTCATCTACCTCCCTCCCCGTTCCCCACCCCCCTCCAAGAAAAAAGTTTTAAAATGTACACTGGTGCTATAAATATAAATGCTACCTATGAAGAAATGTAGTAATCAAGCTTTTTTGTTCAAGTTTTTTTGTCTGTTTAGCAATTTATGAGACGGCTGAACCGAAGATTGATTTTATTTCATCCCCCTACCGGACACCAGGTCTGACTTTAACGTTTCTGCCATGAACTGTGAGGAATGCCAAACCCTATGGATATACAGTGGTAGTTGTTCATCGGTGTTGAATGCAGCAGTCAAAAAATACACTCATCTTCCAGATAACCTCAGTGCACTTTAGGAAATCAAATATTACCTGGAAGCAATTTAGTACATATATTGGCTTTTAAAAAGAAAATAAAAAATACAGCAGCATTAAACTTACTTAGTCATGATACTGACATGATTAATACCATCTTAACACTCGTCGCAGTCTTTCACATTATACCGTAATTACGCATAGTGGTAAATCATTATAAAATAGTGACTTTGCTATTTGGTAGACAGGTTCTAATACTAATACCTGACTATTCTGTAGAAAACCATAGCTTTTGTTCAGTTTGAAATAAAACATTTACATTCTAAGTACAATGCAACACTGTAATAGTTTAGGAAAAAATATTCAATCAAGTAATGTTCATTCTGTGTTGACACGGTGTAGAATAGCTTTAAAAAAGGAAAAAATGCTGTCAACTTTCATTACAAATGCAAACACACTGAGTACAACATTCATACCATTTTTTCACCTTTGTTGCTGAACATACAGGCTAAAAAGCTACAGTGGAAGAAAAACCTGTCAATTTAAGCTCGTTCAGAAATCTGTTCCAGTCCAGATAGTTTCAGCCCCTTCCTGCTCTATGTGTTGTCATTTACCTGGGACTCTCAAGAGCCGTGTATTATCATCAGATATATTACACATACAGTATCGTGTGTTCCTTTGGACTCTCCTAACAGGACATTTGAACATCTCCCCTCAATTCATGAGCATTAACTTGGTGTATGGGCAGGGTCTGTATGAACTGCTAAACACTCATGCAAGTCCAACGAATCCACGTGGACAAACAGGGAAAGAAAACAAAACAGCAGCATAAGGAGAACAGGGAGGGAGGGAAGGAAGAAGATTGTGGTGGGGAACATGACCAAGTTTCTTCTTTCACCATATGGCTGCTCCACCAGTGATGTCAGAGGTCAGAGGACTTTTTTTTTTTAGAAAAAAAAATGCAGTAAACATTGCACATGTCTCAAGTCTTCAGTGCAAAAGCATGGTTCGAATGCTCTTTTTGATTGTTTGGCTGTGTGTTTGAACTACATGCATTACGCAAGCCTTTTGTAGAACCAGGAGGAGACCAGGGACTCAGCTTTCTTCTGTTGTACGGAACAGAGGTGCAAAAGCAATGAAAAATTCCAAAAGAATATAGAAACGGGAATGTCCCAAAACACAAGACCAGCCCCCCTCCCTCCCACACACACCTTCCCCCAATTTCCCAAGCTTCAGTTTAAGTAGGCAATGTTTACTTGTTTCAGTCTGCAGAATCCAAGGTATCATTGGAAGGGGGAGGGGGAGGTGCGTATCTCAGTCTGTAAGTGCCTAAAACAGGAAAGAGAACTACTAAGTCACCGCTCACAATTCAAATGGATTACAAAACCACTACAAGGTATCAAAATGGACATGCTCTTCAGAAGGCACTATCATCCTCCAGTCCCTTTAAAGTAGGTCCTAAGATTTTATGCTATTTCCTTTCATCTGCTCGCTACAACTGGAAGTTTAAAAAAGGTGCAGACCGTATTGGACTTTACCATTACTGGAAAAATGAAAAAAAAAAAAAAAAGATGACCCCCATCAAGGCTTGTCTTTCCTGTTCCAGTCCGACCAAACGAGCAGAGTCAGAATGGGCACAGGCCAAGAATCAAAAATAGTTTATGCTCTATGCAATCACTGCGTTTTCTCCATTCTTCTGGATGGAGAGAGAAAGGGCATAAAAGACTGAAGCCGCTTCCTTTGATTTTTCAGTTCCAATGGGTTTCTGCCTTTTTGCTGAAACTTGCCTGAAAAGTTAAAGCATGTTTCGTTTACGTACTGCATGATGGGGCAAAGAAGGATGGCTGACTGTGGTCAAGGTAAGCTTCAGAAAAGTTATCAAATGGCCAATCTGTTTGGGTTGGTTTTTTTTAATTCTCACAAGTTTTAAGAACCCAAGTTCATATCATAGACACTAACTGGTATCTTCCATTTCTTGCCAATGAGTTCTCTCCAAAAAAAACCAAACCACTGAACAGGAATAGAAAAGTGGAAACAACCTGCAAGTCTCAGCATAATGCCAAACCCACAGCAGTGAAAAAAGAATGACAAGTTAGGACTGATTTAGTTTGACTTCTCAGCTTTGAATCGCGCCCATTTTCAACTCCACGCCGTGAACCCTGTTCCCTTGCACTGTTCTACAAAATTTTCAGGCAGAGATAAGATACTTTGCAGTTTTAGAGCAGGTCACTAGTGCACGACCATTTACACAAAACATACATACGCACGCACGCCTTTCTGCAAGACCAGAAACAGCACATTCAGAAAGGTAAAGAGAAACTGCTAAACTCAAAAGCAAGTCCGCTGGGAGTTATCATGATTACCTTGTTGACTGGCCTCCATGGATGACTGCTTACAGTCCTGCGCATAGTGTCCACTTACACCACAATTGTAACATGAAACGTTCCCGTTCTTCTTGGGTCCCGACCCATTTGTGTTGGCAACTACGTTAGGTGCTGGATATACAGGATAGTACCTCCCAAATCCTGCCATCTGCTGCATACCATAGTTGGCTTGGCTCCCCATCACCGGGTCATGCATAAGCCCGTTTGCATACGGAGACTGAGGCAGGAAGAAAGGAAGTTGTGTTCCATTGCTTTGATGTGCTTGATTGAGGTAGCTGCCATTGCAAAGTGATGGCAGAGTGAAGAAAGATGGAACTCTGTAGACTTGTCCATGAAGTGGGTTGTGATAAAAATAGCTGTTAATCTGAAGGCTTCCATTGGTCCCACAGCTACACCTACGTCCGCAAGAACCACAAGGACCAGATCCCAGCTGCTGCGGAGGTAACATTGTCCCGTTAGTGTTATTGTTTCCAACAGCGTTTATGTAGGATGTGCTGTCGCTCTGTGCAGTGCTGTGTGTCAAAGCAGGGCTCGGGCTAGGGGCAGGGCCTGGCGTATGCGTAGGTATTGCGGGAGGAACAGTGGACTGGACCTGACCCACGCCTAAACCGGCTGACTGAGGTGGTGAGGAAGTCGCTACAGTGTTTAGCACGTTGGTATTCTGGTTGGGCAACACACTGGTAGCGTGAGGACTGCCTGGCAAAGCGTACGAAGCTGGTGGAGGTGGCGGCGCTGCTGTTGAGAGACCGGCTGCTGGAAGAACTACCTTTAGATTGGTAGGCTGAGGGATTGCTCCTGGGTTTCCCTCAATGTGAGGCACCATTTGATTCAGTCCTACCACCTGGGACGCAGGTTTTGTGATGGGATCTGTAGTAGGAACTGGGGATCCTGGGAAACTACCTGGATTGTGGACTGGGATAAAGGCAGTATTTGGTGATCCGATACTTAAGTTTCCTGTCGGCTGCTGCGGTCCACTAACTGTGCAACTTTCCGATGATCCCTGTGGAGAGGGCATTTTCAATCTGTGTATTGCCAAATGCAAAGCGGGGCTACCAGGCTGGACAGAATGCGGAAGGAAAGTGGATGGGACTGGCAAAGGGGAAGCCATCAGCTCAAGGCGTTTCTCGGGGTCACCAGAGGTCACTGGGCCCATTCCACCAGGAGGTGAATTTGCAGACTCTCTCACCGGTGAGACAGAAACAGGCGTGGTAACAAGCATCCCCATTGTTTTACCATCTGCAGATATGGGTGGCGGGACAACTGCTTCAGGCTTTTGGGCAGCGCTGTGCATCACACAGTGTAAGGCAGGCATGAAGGAAATATGTTGAAACTTTGCGTTCAAAGGATCTTCTGCAAGGCTTCCATTTTCATTATTCACTGAAGAGATCTGAGCGGACGATTTGCTCATATTTGAAGAACTGACAGCACTGTAGCCTGTAAACCTGGTTGTATTTTGATTCCCAGAGTCCTCAGAATTGCTGTCTGTATCTGTTGAGACAGAAGCATTCGCCAGTTAGAAGAACAAGTTTAAAACAATAGTCATGCCCCAGATTCATCTACTCATATAAATCTTCCTACGTTTGATGACACTAATGATAGTTACATCTTCCCGAAGTAGAATAACTTGGAGATTATTTTACTTATCCAAATCAAGCTAAGTCAATCTCCACCACTTGCCTATATCAAACTGCCCAACTAGCTACTGTGTCTTGGACTTGTGTGTATCTGCAAATGCGAAGAGTAGGACATGCATCAAATTAGGAATTTGTTTCTACCTACCAAGACATTAACATAGCTTAGTCAAATGTGGAAGAAGTGGCAAGTTAAACTGTCAATACAAAAAGAAGGAGCTCTCGGACATGCTACATGAAGTTTGATATAAAATCAGTCTCCTTTATGCCAAAATTTTTCCAATTACTGTACCACTGAAATTTGTCACGTACATAGTAATCTAAAACTCAACAGTATTTAAAAAATCCTGCTATTTGCTAGAAGCCTTCAAACCATCCAGTTACAAAACACACAAAGAAAAACGTGTTCTATGGCTAGGTTCAGAAATAAAAGCAGATAATAAAACTGAGAAATGAATTAAAATTAATACAAGAAAACTAGTCTAGGAGTAAATACGTTCATGCACATTCTCCATAAATACAACCTCTGTCTTTTTCTTCTTCACTATCAAAGCTTTCCCTCCCATCATGTCGTGGACTAGAAGGAGAACTGTAACTTTCAGATGATGTTTCTCCACATGTGTCATGACCAGATCCAGCGTCCAAATTCAGATCTAAAAATAAAAATTAGCATTTTTATTTTTAATCTCAGTATACGGAAGTGAGATTATTGTGGTTTGCTCACATTTCAAGCTAGTTCAGATTTTAGTTTTTTTCCTACTTAATCACATCTGTCCCCTGTACTCCTAACTCCCAGCGTTCAGGACTAGTCTCATCCCTAAATTTGTGATGACTGAATCCTTGGTGTTAAAAGTGGTGACAGTGAAAATTCATATATCTATGCAGAGCAGTGAAAAGAATTATCATCCTTAATGAACTGTGTGATGTTTATACCAAGTGGTACTACAATAATAATTTCCTCTGAATGGTAGCGACAAAATGTTTCCATTCAAAGCGGTGCAATATTCCTTGGTCACACCAGCAAAGGCAGAAAGCTAACTCAGGGGGAAAACCTCAAAATAATACACCCTTTTACCCTTAACTCATCCAGAACAGGCTTTAAGCAAACTGCATCAAAGCTTCTTTGAAGAAAAAGAGGTGAACTAAAAAGGTGTGAAATTGTTTTCTAAATTCTGAATGAGACCATGGGAAACTCATTTGCTGGAAAGCAGCTGTCAGGGTGGGTTTAGATCCTATTCGTGACTTCAAGTAGGTAGCCAGTATGCTCTGGCTTTCAAGTTCAGCCTCAGAGGTGAAGGAGCAAGACAGATGCACTCCTCAGATTGTGTGCCAGCCACTAGCTTCAAGGAAACACCAACTCCCAAAGCTTGGTTGGCAAAACTCTAGGACAAAAGTTAAAACACTATTATTTACTTTATTTTATTACTTCTAAGAAATTATTATTTTATCTATAAATTATTATTATTGCTACCACAACTATAACAGGTTGGGATAAGTCATCATAAAGGTGCCTTAACGCTTCATTTCTTGAAATAACTTCATGGATTAAATCTGTAACTGGTCAAATTATTTTAACAAGCGTTTTCAGTATCTAATATAACCTGGAGCAGCAGTGGCAACCTCACATCACTGAAAGCAAGAGTCTAAAGTGCTAGTCACGAAGTATCAAGTCTTCAAAGCTACAAGTGTAACTGATGACTCAGAAAAGCTAAAAATAGGGAGGAAAAAAATGGAAAAAACATGATGCAGTTAAGAGTTATCGATTCAGAAGAGAGCATTTCAAACCAAGCCTGGTTATATAAAGCTAGGCAGAGATTCACATTGCAGCATGAGGTTTTTTTCTTTAGACTATGTCTCCAATAGGGCATCTCAAAAGACATTTTGATGTTTGTACACAAGCACACAGATAGAAAGCTCATTTCTGAGCAGGATGTAATTGCTTTCAGCCTCTGTGGGCCACAGTTTCTTCTTGGACAGGCCTTAAGCAGCCAACAGTACAAACAGGCAGTTTCACACCTGTAGAGTAGTGGACAGTGAGCAGACAGAACTCCTAAGGCAAAGCATTCCCTGTTCAACTTCGCACCACCTCTTCAAGTTATCGTCAGTTCATAAAAGCTCAGTGTGCTTTGCCTGACAAGGACAGTAATCAATCAGAAATGTAAACAGCAAAGCTGTCCTGTAGGGTATGTTTTCTGCTTGTACAGCCCTTAGCTGTAACTTTCTAAAATTGTCCTAGTTTTGCTAAGTTAGTGAACCGTGAATTCTTAGTTTTAGCCAAATACCGTTTTAGAAGGTAACAAAAACTGTTCATGAAACATATGGCAATAACTCAGAATGGGATTCACCTGGAACTCTCTAAAGGTGGGAAGCAGTGAAAAGAATGAAAACTTAATCAAAGCTGTACCCCAAGTGGAAGCAAAAGCAAGACAAAACACTTCTTAAGAGTCCTTTCAACACTTATGCCAATTGGGTGGTGTAGAAAAAGGCAAATTCTTTGTCAACTTTCTGTCATGAGAACTAAGTACGAGAGAGGCAAGGCCACAACTGATATTGCGAGCTTAGAAAACATCAAGATGGCAAAGTCAATGGATAATGTAGCCCTTCAGAAATCTGTAATAAAGCCTACAGACTCCATTTACTAAAGGAACGCAAATATAATTTTGTCTTATAACTGGTGCACAGGAGTCTTGGCCTGGACACTAGATTTTGCATGATGACTCAAACTTGGAACACCCTTAGGCCAGCATACACAGTTCTGTGTTGTGGCTCAGCAGTCACTTGGTTTACACACTACAATTCTTCTAACAGTTCACACCAGAGGGTTTTTATACAGGCCTCTCATGGGCCATTCCCCAACAGCTGAAGAAATTAGTGAGCTGCAAAGAGAACACTAATGGCAAGATGCTGGACCTCCACACACTTGAACTGCTAAACTTCATATAGAAGTAGCCCGACATTAACTGTTTCTGCAACTATCACTCCACATAAGGCAACTTTACTAGGGTTTTTCAAGTTATGCATGAAAAGAGGCAGACCTTAAGCAACTGCATACAGAAGACTGAGTGTAGCATGTTCTATACAGCAAATGAAAGCACAGACTGGACAACCAACATGACATGCTTGCACCAGAACAGATTTCAGACTTGTGATTTCCCCTTTGCTGCAGACCAATGAATAAGTCAGCAAAGCTGGAAATTCAGTTTCTTACAAACAGCTCGGGAAAAACCATCTTACCTTTTGCTGTTCCTGTACGGATGTGCTGTGCTGCAACTCTAACTCCATTAGCCCTGTTATTCAACCGGCAGTCAGTTTTCTTTGCTTTCTCCCTGCGTAAATAATTTTTGTGGGTTTTTTTTTCCCAAATGCATGGGCACAAATAACCCACCATCAATGAACATATAACGCCACTGTGAACAAAGGCAGTGACTCCAGGCTACAAATGTATATTTAACAGCTATACTAACAAATGTAGATAATAAACAAACAGCTAAAGGCTGTTAGTGCAATATACCAGTAACTAAACTGCAAGCAGTGTTACTAAACACTATGAGTAAAGATCTAAAAGAGAAAGCACAAAAAAGAAATGGTGCAGCTGATCCTAAAGTCATCTTTGAAAGCTGATTTGTGCAATGCACCCCTACACCAGACTGGTATAAAAAACATCTGGCTACAGAGTACCAAAATGACAGAAAGCCAACTTGGAAGTAGGCAGAGTATTAGATAAGGGCGGAAATGTTTTCACTTCCTCATAGTGCAGGATTGGGTAGCACACAACAAGTTCTGAAGCTCTCGGATGTGCAAATTATCTTCAATAAAACATTTCAGCAAGTTACCACCCACTGCATAATGTTCAAGGTTGCTGTCAATCCTTGTTTGAATTTCTGTGTTTTCTGGACAGCTTTACACCTTTTAACTTTCAAATAAATATAAAGGGGGAAAAGGCAATTCAGTATCAGCTAAGAATCTACTTCTGCTCCTTCATCTTTTTGCGAAACGACAACTGACATTTTAAGAAATGAATGCATGCAATTACATTCTACTTTTCAAGTTACTTCTTTTCAGAAGATAAAATACAGATTTTTATGTAAACTGGCTTCACACTATGCCAGTTCTTGTTCCACAACGGCAAAACAAAGCACCTAACTGACTGCAGACTCTGTTTTTCAGAACAAATGCATTACACTTTGTTTCTGGAATACTGGTTACAGTGTAAACCTACTTTTCCAGCTGCGGCTTTCCTTTCTTCTTGCTTACTGTAGACAGACTTCGTTTTTCCGCTGTATGCTAGACAGAAAATACAAAGACACCAGTCAAACAACAGAATTTGTATCATGAAAACGAACAAAAAAACCCCCTTCTAAACTGACAGATCCATGAGTCCAAGACTAGTGCACTCACAGGAACCATAACCATATAAACAACTACTTGTATGGTGCATCCAGGCCTTTAGAATAATGCATCTTGTCTTGCACTTATGCTATTATCAACAAAGCACTCAGCAAATTACTAATCGCAAATATTCCAAAGGATATAAATCAAATTATTGTTTGCATGCTTTCTTCTTAAGGATAAACACAAATGAGTTTCATCACATACCTGCTAAAAATGCTACTCACAAGGCTTAAGGGGCTACAGAATTTATTGATTTAAGTGGAATTATTTGATGGTTGGAGGATGGGAAGTATAAGTGACAAAGCAGATGCCCAGCCTTAAACTGGAGGTTGCTGCAAAACTGAACTCTACAATACAACAGAGCCTAGAAGCACAAGAAAAAACAGAGCATCTGCATAATTCTTTAAGTACACTGCTGCTAGTAATATCTCATGTTTGGCAAAGGAGTAAAATTTATGAGAACTCAGAAATAATCTTTGTCCAGATATGCTGTATTTTGGACATACTTTAAATAGGAAGTAGCTTCTCCTCTGCTTTAGCATACTGATTTTTTTCCTTGCCTCAAGCTTGCAGTATTCCAAGCTTTGATGCATTTAAACTTTAAAAGCAAATCTAAATTCATTACTTTGCTTTGTAAACTAAAAAACCCTCTTTGGCTTCCTTCCATTCCTCTATTTCAGCAGATGATTTTATTTATAAACAATTATGCTTCTCAAATATACTCACACCAAAACTGACCACTGAAGTGACACAAAGATCACAAAAAGTGTATACGTATCTAGCTATTAACTTTTTTCAACAAATACTTAAACTACTTCGACAATGCAGGTAAGACAGAATGAATATAGAATCATAAAATGTACTGGGTTGGAAGGGATCATCCAGTCCACCCCCCTGCAGTAAGCAGGGACAGTGTTACCAGATCAGGTTGCCCAGAGCCCCATCAAGCCTGACCTTGAATATCTCCAGGTATGGGCCCTCCACCACTTCACTGGGCAACCTGTTCCAGTGATCTACCACCCTCATATGGAAGAACTTTCTCCTAATATCCAACCTAAATCTGCCCTTTTCTAGTTTAAAACCATTACCCCTTGTCTTATTGCCATGTGCCGTAGTGAACAGCATGTTCATCATATATTTAACCTGTTGTCCCTACTGTAGCATTAATATGGTTAATATTAATAGTTATTAATACAGCTTCTTGTTTATTCCTTGCAATAACACAGAAACCCTCCAGGCGCTCTGAAATTCTGATGACAATGTTACAATAACAGGAAAGTGCCTGATTAGAAATGAACATTAGACTTTTCTGATTACTTATATCCTACTGGGAACTTTTATTTACAAATTCATAAGCGAGACATGCAACTTTGAGACAGAGGTAAGTAATTATGAGGGTTTTCCTCATCGAGATACATCAGCAGCAATTTGAACTTTGACACTTATTTGCACCATTTTACCAGAGCTCTTTCACTTTTAAAGCTAAATCAAATTATGTGTACTAGACAGTCTTCTCCAGCGTCTCAGAATATTGCTTTAAAGAAAAAACAGCAACACACCTGGTCAAGTAGGTTTGTACAGTGCTCTGGGTGCTGCTGGACAATACAGCTTTTTCTCCTCCAGTCCATTACCCCATTTTGCTCAGAGTGCTGTATGTTAAGGCTATCCAGTGAAGAACATTTTGCACTGCTAGTGCTGCTGAAAGGAAAAAACAAAAGTTACGCCCACATGAACAAACTTGCAAGTTTTTCCTACCAGTACAGACATTTTTGCATCATGTTGGGAAGTTGCGGTATTGTGCTTTCAAAAAACCCTAGAAATTCTCAAGAGATGTAAAAGATGTAAATTACAGGAGTACTTGTGCTCTGAAGTTGCACTGATGATCCGAACATAATTGGAGTTCCTTTTTCATCTGCATACGATAATTTGACACAAAATTCAGAACAGCAGAAATTGTAGAAAACAGTACTTGAGAGAAGAGTGTCCATGGATAGTTCTGCAACGTCCTTTTGTTTGCTTTTTTCACACCAGATGTGGGGAAATTTACCAGACAGAAATGTATTCTGAATTCATCTTCCTTCTTCCTTATCATTAATGACAGAGCTGGAATTAGCTTGTAATCCCTATTTCAGAATTCATGAAACATTTACAAAAAGGAACGCATGGCGACTTACAGATCACACCGCAGCTGTGTTGGTTTGAATTTCAGCATACCATCTTGCTTTATTATTTTTACCTTCAGGATTGCTAGTTTTGAGTAGTGCTGGGAAAGGGGAGTTGCATTTGGCATTTACTTTAGACCTTACAATGCTTTCCACTGAAGCTTCTCTTAACAGCAGCCGGTCAGAAGCAATATTCAACTGGGTCTGAGAGCACTGGTCAAAAGACTGCTGGAAAAACAGTCAGGGTTCTGACAGAGTCAGAAGGGCACACAGACATATAAACTTTTCATCTATTATACAAAACCATGCCCCAGTATTGACTGGATGCTCCCTCCAAAAAACAGAGGGAATTAGTTAACACTTAAATTCTTATCAAAATACTTGTGCTGATAATTGAAAGTGCCTTTTAATGCTGGGCTGTTGACAAGCTGCTCCATGAAGGGTACTGCAATATGAAATGTTACCCAGTTCTTATGATGGCAGAAATCTAGCTCACTTCAAAGCACAAGATGTGCTCAAGTTCCAGTAGCTACTTACCAAATACCTCTGGAAATAAGTGCTCAAGCTACTTAAAAGATGTAAAATAGAACATTAAAAACATAGTTTAAGAAAGTGGTGAGAACCCAAGAAGGTCCTGGAACACAGACACGAGCCCGTGACTGCAGAGATACAAGCAAGTTCACTTTAGAAACTTCTGCTGAATGGAGTTAAGTGAATCCACTGCCAAATTTGCAGTCATTTCACGTAGGCTGAGATACCAGATTTTTTATTTTGTACGTCTGATCCCATTCTGACCAGTAAATCTTTGAGCCTTTTCAAAAGTAAGGCTGCCATCCTGAATAAAAACAAAAAGGTAGGCAGATGTAATGTACCAACTTTCCTGAAATGTGCCAGTGCTATTTGAGATTAACTACTCTTGTCTCTAGACAGTTTTATACCTATTTAAAAGAGTTTAATTCAGTGCCATTTCTTTAGAATCCATAAATAACAGGCACAGATTCTAAGACAGAAGCATAATGTGAACAGGAAAGGACTAACAGACCTCTAAGCAGTTAAGTAGCAAACACATTTTTTCCTCTTAAATAAACCAAAAATAATAGCTAGTGAAAGGAATTTCTATCATGGAAGTTTGTGGAAAGGCCTGTCCCTGCTTTTCCTATCTGAAAAACAGAGTCTAAACCACAGTCATCTTTAACAAACTTTATTATACATGAAGAAGAAACATTTTTTTTGTAGTAACGCTATGTTTTTCAGTTTGGATCCTGCTCTTATGACTTCACAGTAGGCTGGATGTATAATCAGAGATTTTGTCAAGGTGACATTCTCTTCATGAAGAAATGCAAGTTGAGAGTAAGTAGGTGGGTTAAAAAACAAAACAGAAACAAACAACTAAGTTGTCCAATAGGCAGTTTCACAAGAACCTTGCCAGTTAAAAATCTGTGAACTTCAACCAACATTGCCTAATGCTACATTTATATTCTAATTATTGTTAATTCCAGTAATTCCACCCCTGCCCCCCCCCCAAGACAGTTTTATAGATAACAAAGAACAAAATTGTAAACGACAACAAATTTTTTATGCATTTTTTCTCTTAAAAAAAGTTGAAGTATTGCACAGCTACGTGCAAACATATCCAAAATTTCTGGTCAAAATACATTAATAGGTGAATTTACATTACATACTTCATGTATCCGAAAGCATACATAAACTACTTTAATATGGTTAAGAAGTGCTTCCACTTACAATGAATGTAAACCAGCAAGGTATACACGCTTTTGCTATTAAGCAGGGGAAAGAATGGACTACCTTATCCTATAAGACCATCTTTGAAGCTACTGAAGAAAAGCTTAACATCAACAGCAATGGAAATTTTCAGTATATGTGTGTGTGTGCACATGAGAAAATACAGGCAATCCAAATTTATATTACTCAGCTTATAAACATAAATCAAATCATCAACTCAAGTAGTGAAGATCTGGTAAAGAGAATTCCAAATGACCTAGGATCTACAGATTACGAAACAAGATCTTTTGAAATATTTTTCTAGTACAGGTTAAGTTAATAACACCCCCCAACCAATAAAAAACAAAATAAGAACACCCCACCTCAAACAAAAACCCCAGAACCACGGTTTAATCTAGAAGGAAACACAAACAAAGCACTAACAAATGAAGTTCAAATGTAGCATGGTCACATTACATCCCAATACCTACTTGGCAACAGGACTTTTTCCATTATGTTTCTTGTGAACTGCTGTGTGTTGCATTACATCTGGAAAAAATAAACAATGCATCATTTCAATAGCAGTTCCTATTTCCTCTTTTATATCAATCCAACAAATTCATCTTTCCATCACTATCAGACGCTTAGCAGAAGACAAGCCCATTAAATGGACTAGGCTTAATTTGCAGTGCTGAAATTAACAGGTGTTGCACAGAGGACAGATCAGTTTGTACAGACAATATAATCAAGGCTCTACTGAAACAGAAAAACAGGAACTGTAACAATTGTTTATGTTTGCTCACCTCTGTATTTAATCACAAGGACTAAATGTGTGACTGAGTATCATCCAGTATGGATGGAAAGAGAAGAAAGGATTTGGTCAGAAATGTACAGAATTCTGTGATTTTTTTCTGAACTGCTAAAATTAATCTCAAAACTATGTCACACATTCTGAATAATGAATGGAGACAAGTCTTACAGAGCAGTCTTGTATTCTGAACCCCAAACTTCAATATGCAAGTAAAGCTTTAGAAATTACATTCGATCTAAAGAGATCCTGCCTCACACAAGAAACAAGAACTTGAGAGACAGTCTACCCGCTCCTTTAAGGCAACTGTTACATTTTTAAGCAGCAACTATTCTTAATTCCAGCTGTTGATGATCTTGGCCTTCTTGATAGCCATCATTTTGCCTGAACACCTCTCAATGCTACATGTAACTCCAAATAATGGTTTGGAAAAAAAATAATTTTAAAAAAAACCCACCAGTTCTTAACCTTCTGGTAGCACTTCACTAAAATGGCACAAAAAGGTGTTCTGAAATGCATTTGTAGTTTCATCAGGTGAACAGATTTTTTTTTTTAAGGACAGTATATTAAACACTATTTGTGCAATTTTCAAAGATACTGTAAATTTACTTGGTGCATTCTGAACTCTAAAGAATATGGTAGTGATTTTTTTAAGATAAGAAAAAGCTGTCTGAGCTGCATATGTGGATTACTAATTGCACATAATGTGTAACAGAGTGAGAGTGGTGTCATTCTGTGAAAGCTAGCGTAAGTGTTCAGTGGTCCATGTTAACCTATCAGTCCCATTTCTCATCCTTTCCACCAACCAGAAGCTTCCAGTTGTTCACTACTGTGGCAGATGCACCCACCCTACTAAAGACCTGAGAAAGACCCAACAATGACAGTGCTAAAGTTTCTGGCCCTGGTAGCGCCAGGACTGCCTCCCCCCTCACAGCTCATGTCTGGTCCACATAGTGGGGGTCAAAGGCAGGAAAGTTGGGGTCCTCAGCCAGTAGGGGGTGACACGACCATGTATTGACCACAGATCAGATTCGACCAGGGTATAAATGGGGCCCCGCCGGAGGACTCATTTGAGTCGGTCCTCCTCGGAGCAGCGGGTCTGCAGTCGGGGACTCTCCCCTTGAGTTGGGACGCCACTTAAGGTAACTTCTCGAGATTGAGAGCCCTCCCTTTTTGGTGAGTGAGTGAGTGCACATTTTGGATCGTTCGGCCAAAAACTTAAGAATTCTTAACTCAGCCATGCCTGGTAATATTCCCAACCAGCATATCAAACCTGCATTTGTTAAATGTCAGTGGGATGTTGTTTTGGTGAATGAAGTTTTGTCTGCTTCATTTTAGTTGCAGATTAAAGCTTGTTTGAGTTAATTAATTGTGTGCGTGTAGCCATTTTGGTGCGATTCCGTGACAACTACTGAGAACAATGCAGAACTGGCTTGCCATTCCTTTCAGAATGAAATTACTGACCAGTCACTACGCTGCTGCTTTCACAAGTGAACTGGTTTTGAGGTGTCTGGAAAACACAGCTTTCAGACTGTAATCAATGCTCACTACAGTCCCATACAGTTACAGTCCTTATTAACAGTCCAGAGTATAATAGCAGCATAGATTAAGAGGAGGAAAACATGAACATCCTTTCTGTGTAAAACTAAAAGCTAAACAAATTTGGCACACAATGCAAAACAGTCTGCAACTCTTGAAATGCTGCACTCAACTTCTAACCCTGGTAACTGAAAAACAGGTAAAGCCATGAAAAGCTGCAAACAATTTGGCTCAAGTAAAGTGTAAGGTGTATCTTCCTGCTTGCTCAACACAGCTGCGAACTTCTGCCTTCAAACTGCCTATGGACACTCCCACTCCTGGGATTATGTAGCAACCGCCTAAGGAAACTGCTGGCAGCGTACAAAAATTCTTCATTTACACAGCACATGTGATTCAAATCTCTCAGCTTTGTATCAATGAAGAAATCAGTCAGCTGCATGATTTCCAGAATTGAGTGTGGTAACATTTCTCAGAGAAGAACCACCTTTGAGCACACAACTACCTTCCTCCTGACTTGAAGCTTCTGAACTGTCCTCCTTGAAGTGTTCTGGTGCCTTAACCGTCTTCAAAGAGGGTTGTAAATTACCTGCAGAGAATAAAGTTCACGTAGTAACTTTACAGATCTTGAACATCTAGACAGTTCCTGAATGCGTGCACTAATCTGGAAGCTAGGGAAATGGAAGACTGACTTACTGGTTTGCGTGTGGCAGTAATTTGAATATTGTCTCCTTCACAGCAGGCCATCTCCAAGAGTAAAGGCTCTATGGAGATACATTTATTTTGAAGAAAAAGAGTGTGCAGAACAATTTTAAAGCTATGGTGCAATTTCAAAAGGTTGGGATTGTGGTTGTAGTATTAGAAATACTCCTCTTATCCTGTACTTCAGATATTTTAATAATATTTTTTGTGTTCCAGCAGGAAATGGGAGGAGACCAATGATAGCTACTAGAAATCTTCTGCAACAAATTACACTCCTCCACTGTCAAATCATCCACCTGCCAAAGGAGACCTAATTTGGGCTAAAGTCTTCCAGTGCCTTTAACAGTCTTCATGCACAATTTTCGCCTTTTCATGCCACATGGGATGGGAAAAAGAAGTGGCAACAAGATTTACAGTTTTGTTGCAAAAATACCACTGCCACAGTCTGAAAAAGGACTAAGTTTGGTAATGAATCTAACTGTAGGAGTCTAATCTTTCCCTCTCAAAAAGTTCCAAGTTAGTGCAGGTAAAAGCATCTGAAAGCTGTTGCTTAGGAACTTGAAATGTTGATAGGAAGATCCTTCAAAGTGTTGTATGCACTGAACATACAAAGCCCCCAGAGTTCATGCTCTAATAAAGTCTGCTGGAATCAAAAGTCTATTCCAGCCTTAAAAAGTGTCTAAAATAATCGACATTATGAACCAGGAGGGAGCTAACTGACTTCTTCCTTACTGGAACCATGGTGGCATAATTATGCTTACTAAATATATTATTCAGTGTGAGATTCCAACTACTATTTAAGGTAAAAAGATCCTTCACTGAACATAGAATTTGTTTCCACACAGGTTTTACTAAAACCATACCTATAGCATTCAAGTCTTTCAGAAAGACCAAGTATTTTTGTATCTCTTTTTTTGTGATTTTTATCCCTGACTCTAAATTGCAACTGAAGACCAATTTAAGCCACAGCTGCTCTGTCAATTAATTCTGCATGTGTGATCTGAGACCTATGATGAGATTTTTCTTAAAGAGATGCTTGCTCTCCATGCCCTCCCCACTGTCATCACAATCAAAATATGCTACCACAGGCTAAGTTCCAACTGCAAGCATTAGCAGGATTTCAAGAATCCCAAACAGGCCCAAACAGGGGCCACCAATAAAAAAAACACATGAGCTGTTTAATTGTGGTGATTTTTGGGAATGAGCAGGGCAAGTACCTTTGTCTTAGTAGATCTTTTACTAGCCCGCACCACAAGAAACGTGATTGTGGGCTACCACAGACAAGTCATCCAGTCCCTCTTCTCAACAGAAAAACAACTATGCTTAAATTTGTTGTACTATTTGTCTTCAACAAACTTTCTCTTAATATCAAAATCAATGTCAGGGCCCTGAACCAAACCACCAGGCTTTGCAACCTCTTCCCCTGCCCTCCCAAGGGCTTTACCTGTCTGTGCTTAACATCCAGTCTGATACAGTGCTGTTTTGCAATTTTGGGTGAGACTGCTTGGAAAAGAACTGGAAAAGGCCTCATTTAGGGCCTTCATTCTTTAGCCTGGAAAACACATTTGAGCTCAGGCCCTTGCCTGGGGTGCACTGCAGCTATGCCTGTGCCTGGCCATGTACCTCGCTGATCCTGTACTTTACAACCCTGACCTACTGACTTGTTTCTCTGCCTTAATCTCAGAGCTGCCTCATTGCTTTGGACTTGTCAGGTAATCACCAGACTCTTGTCTTCCCCTGGTCCTAATGTTCCTTACAGCAAGACAAGCTCAGCGCTTTCTGTCTTAACACACTCTTTACATTATGACTCTTTGGTACGCAAAGAATTAAGTCATCCTCTATTGGAGTTTTTCCTCCTCTCTGCTAAACAATTAAGTTCCTGATCCTGCCTGTCATGCATTCTAGATGTGACAAATTCTCATAAACTTTCATATACCCAGTCATTTACTTATTATTATACAAATTATCTCCCATTTACGATCACACGATAATCTGTAAGACTTCCTGCAGAACTGACATTTGCCCATTTTACTCTTCTAATCTACCTGCCCCACAGATCGCTTCTGCCCTGCCCTAAAGCAGTCAAGTCTATCACAATGGAACCCAGCACTGGTTCTTTTTCATCCCGTTTCAAATTATAATCACGTAAAACAATGCATTTCCAAGCTTTTCTCACTTAGATGTACTCTACAGACTAAAATATATACACCCTGTGCAGTGTCCCTATCATTAACGTGAATCTTTCTGGACTTTGGAAACTTTTTTCTCCCCATGCAGCCTTGCAGTACAAGAGAGTTGTGAGAATTTTCACAGCAGTAAATTCCAGCCAGTTTCACAACCATCCTGGAGCTCATTAGCTCAACTTTTTCATGAAACTGCCATATAAGAATCTTGTAACAGTTTCTTAAAACCAAAAAAAAAAATCACAAAACTACCTACAGCATCTACGCTAATCAGAAGACCTCTATCTGACCATGGAAATAATACACTTGTCACAGATCTCACACATCATTCCAAAAGTCAGCTGTCATTCTTCTATTTTCTTCCAAGTGTGTATAAGCGGTCTGCTTGAAAACTCCCAACTTATTATTCAATTCCTGACTAAGGTCTTCTGCAACTTTTGAGGCAATGGCCTCACAGTCAGTGCCTTTAACTGTCATGGTGTATAACATGCACTGAAAGAAGAGAAAATTCAACAGAAACAAAGACCCAAGGCATCCACACAGAGAAGCCAAGCTTAGGTTGCACAATCTGTAATACACAAGTAGGTAAGAGCTCCACCAAGGGAATCTCTGCAATGCAAATGCTCCAAACAAGAGTCTGTATGTTCTGAAATTAGGGCCATCCCACTATTTATGTATTATGAACCCAAAATGAATCTTAGTTTAAATATCAAGACAAACGCTTCATCTGTAAAAGAAACAGAATAAAAACCAGATGTGATTTTTTGGGTCAGATCAAGCTTTTTGTTCCAAAATTTCTTAAAAGAAAAAAGTCCCATACTGTTGCACATACTCAACTCATAATTATCTATTTCTTAACAGCATAATGGTGCAGGGGAGAAAACAAAGCTACGTAGCACGTTCCCGCTGTCAAAAGCAGGAGTATCTGCTCAAGCAACTATTCATTGGTAGGGAGTTCAAATATGACCAGTGGGATACAAGGTAACATGAATAAGTAATTATAAAAACATAATTAGGCATGACAGGAAGAATGGCTTTTATAGACTTTTTATTATATAGAAAGTATTAGGAAATTTCTTACTGTGAGTGTGCAAAGATTCTGATGAAATTGATTGGAAGAAATTGTATACTCTCTGATTCTGCAGAAAAGCTTGCGATGTATTTGAAAATAGCTGCCTGAAATTTAAGTGAGAGTTTGTTAAAATGGACATAATACTCCTTAGGAAGAACACAAAAGTTTACTACAGTACCATTTAAGAGCAAAGCAGACAGTTCTTAAGAAGTCCAAACACTTGAACTTGCACATTCAGCATAAACAACATTAAATGCTAATTTGAGCATTGCTGTTCAGTGCTAGTTTAAGGTTCGAGTACAGTAAGTACAAGAAATTGATTTTGGTTTTGTTTTTTTTCTTTTTTTTAATTTAATAGACAAGTGCTTTTGAGCCATCCCAATTCAAGTATTTTGGCCACCTGTAACATTTAATCGAAGAGGAGTTTGGACCAAGTCAGAAAAGCACTGGACTTTATATTTTAATGATTAATTTCCCAAAACAATACACCTGGGTTTTTTAATACACTTATTTGGTTAAATACAAAGTCGAATGCACCTATAAAGTCATTAATAGTTTCATAATTATCTCCAAGAGCAAAGGGTGGGATTCTCAATACTGCTTTGTACTGGTCTGAGCCCATTTCCAAGAGGTCAGTGACAACTTCTATTAGCTTCAGATACAAAAACAGGCCAAGAATGAATGGTTTTTGCGTTCCACACTACGTTTTCAGGTATTACTTGCCAGGAAGCTCTACTCAGTTCTATTTTTTTGGGAGGGGGGCAGGGCAGAGCCATTTTTGGCAACTGGCACATACTTAAGACCCCCAAATAAATACATATTTATGCTACACTGATACTGTAAGAAAACAAAATCTGTATACAGTAATGCTATTACCACAAGATTATTCACAGTGTGTTTCAGTGAAGTCACAACTTAGCTTGCAAATTGTAGTTACAGTTCCATACCATAACACGGTTGGATACGTTCAAAGGTTATCCTCAAACTGAATCTCTTGGGTTCGTAATTACTGTGCAGTGAGGCCTCACATCCTTTCTGTATTACAGATATGCTCTCTTCAGTCAAGTTCTATTTAACAAGTTTACTAATTTAAAACCAGAATGTTTATTAGTCAAAAACTGTTTGCACAGATTTAGTTTTTGGCTTGACAATCAAGCCAATAAAAACAGACAACATTACAGGTCAAAATAAAAGAAAATTGGGAAGGGGGAGGTTGAGGCACAGAGCAGCTCTTGTCTTCTATAGCTAAGGTATTAAGACAAAACCTGAAGATCCAATGTGCTTGGATCTGCAGTATCTGAGCAGGAGCCTGAAAAGCAGTGCCCAATTCTTCAACAAGTACCCTAACTCAGGAAATGCTGCCTAACCTGATGAATAATTTAAGTTGTTTTGTACAAGCTTGAACAACCCTGACAGGAAAGAACAAATGTAACAAGATATTTTTAACAAGCAAAAAGAACAGCGAGGTCCACCCAAATTCCTATTACTGTTCTGAGCTACAGGATTTAACCAGCACATCCCGCGTTCCTCATGGCTAGTTAGGAGGTTATGAGGTATGGGCAACTTTCTTACAAGTGTGTGAACTGTATTTAATTTATATACATGCTCCACTATTACTGTTTATTCTTTTCCAAATTCTGTTCTCTCACTCTATCCTGTCATAAAATTAGAACATACGCACTTTGATTTACCGTTTCTTTCTAAAGATACCCTTGTATAACAGAGGTAAGACCCTCGCTGAAGTGCCAGTCATTGATATATAATGCTGCTAAGGACAAATATTTTCATAATTGTATGATTACTTCTAAAGAAGTAAACCATTAAAGTTTATCAAGAGTCTCAGTTGAAAGATTAAAAAAGAGTTAAGGGTATCTATTTCATCACTGCCCTCCTATTTTCTTCACAGATTTTGTTTAGGCAGCAGAACTTCCACTATCCCTAAAAGTCATCTAGCTTGACTTCAATCACTTTTCAGGCGGTGCATTTCAGGTTATTTGCTAAAATATTTACCTGATTATGGGCTCAAGATCAGCATGCCTTCGTTCTTCCCTCTTCTGAAAACCCTGATTTAGTGCTCTTAAAATAGTCTTGTCAAATGCTTCAGAAGACAGTTCCTTTGGGAGCTGAGAAAAAGGTTAATGTTTAAAAATGAGTAGTTGACATTTTAAAGACTGTATTTGTTCACCATCAGTCTTTTTACCTTTTGGTATCAACAAGAAACTATTGTTCCAGTTTGAGTAAGGTAATTTAGACTAAAGATACAACAAATCATCATAATTTAAGTTTGCTGGAGAAACACTTTGCTGTAAAGCCTCACATCAAATCCACATATAGGATGGTTTAAAGTTCTATTTGAAAGAATTATACTCAGAAATTTACCAATACTATGTTCTTTCCAGACTAATTTACAGCCTTTTCTGATTTATTTCTTTAAACCTTTCACACACAGAAACCAGGTCTGAAAATGACATTAAAGATTACCAAGGAGGACTGAATGCACTCTATTCACTATTATCACTTAGCTGGATTCAATTATTTTAAAGAAACAGACTAAGTTATATAATACACGAGACTTCGGTGAGCAATACTGAGATTAATCAATCACAAGTCCTTCTCCAGTTGCTATTAACATCGAAACATCTTATGAAAATTCATCATAACTGTTTCCAATGCCAGTTATTGCAAAGTGAGGTCTTCTGATGTTTTAGTTCAGAAGGCAAAATTCTTGCTATTAAATGAAAAATATTCCCTAGAACAAGATTTTCCACATTTACCACTTCCAAAACAAGGTACTTGACTACATGAAAGCTGATCAAATTCATTAATTTATATTTTAAAGTCTTTTAATTTGGGGGCAATTAAAAGTAAACTGCCACAGCAAAAATGCATTTTTCCTTAAAGTCAAAAAGTATTGCTAATCTGGTTAATAGGTGCCTTCAGCTACAACTAACAGCACTAAGGAATTTCCACTGGAGTAGCTTTCCTCTTGCATATCTGGAATACACCTAATCAGAGTGCCAGGTGGGTATTACATCCCACTAGTGGTACCACAGCGAAGCACAAAGTAATTATTTCACTGAATGAAGTGCTACTAACATAGAGACACTAAGTCTAATGTAGACCATTCCTTGGTAACGTACATAAAAGGAACTTCTTGAATCCAGATAGCCAGGTGCTGTTAGCATTAGATTAGTACAGTGCTCTGGCACTGTATATGAATTACTTATAAAACCAAAAAGAAGTGCTGAAGGTAGCTTTTCTTAACTGACTACTTTGGCTTTAATATGTGCTACTGAGGAACTCTGAAGAATTAGTCAGTATTAACCAAAAAGTACCAAAAAGCTACTGCAGAAGCACGGGGATGAGAGCAAACCTCCTGTCCTGGTGTTCTGTATTTAATTTCGTCTCCAGAAACAGCCACAACTTTTTTTTTTCTTTAAAACTTTCATTAAAAAGAATTCAAATCCTTCGGTGGTTAAAGATTCAGAGTTATACAAGCCCAAGATTAGATGCTTACCATCTTAACTTCAGGTAACGAGATAGCCTTGTTATTACAAGCTTGTTAGTCTTTCCACATATATGGGTAATTTCCTACATGCAAAGTACTTTTTATGCTTGTCATTCTAAGTGCTTTTTAAATATAAGGCACCCACTTACTGCCTTAGTTTTTCCCACTGATGCTTCTATTCTGAAACAATTTTTACAGGTAATTTTACTCTTATCACCCACAACCTTGGAATCTCCTATCAAGTATTCTGACCATTCTTTTCTGTCCCTAGGAAACTGAGCGTACTACTAAACAATGCCATGCAAGACTGGAAATAATAATAATGCATATGAACTTGACAGCATTCATACTTCTATGGTGCTTCTTAAAGCAAGGTGTAAGTTTATCCTGCTTTAAGAACTCTCTTTCTCTTCTATACATCTAGACTCTGCTGGAGCAGTCAGTCAGCATATAAAACAATCCACATCTGTAGAGCTGCCATCAAACTGGACAACTCTGCAAAATTTTGGATCCTGTCCATGTGCCTGGCTCCTCCTCCTGGCAGCAAGTAGGCACTAGAGAATCCATTTCAAAAACTGGTATTTAGAGGTGGAACAGCAGGCATGCAGTTGAACACTCATCCCAGAGCTGCACAGGATCCCACGTGACAGTCCTGCTTTTAAGGTTCTCTTTGGGGGCAGATGCACGTACTCTGTTGTGGGACACCCCATGTGCAACCAGACATATCATCCATAATTCAAATATTCACAAATCAAGCACTGGTAACTCTTGGAACTAGATATTCCACCTAGATTGAAGCAGCAGTGAATACTCACTGCTTCATTTCTACAACACTAGAAAACCTAACATTGATAATTTAAACAGTGAACAAGACAATGACTTTTGTATGGTAACTGGCTTTCCACTTGCAATTAACACTGCAGTCAAAACATGCTCAAACCTGATCTTTCGTTAGTGCCCTGAGCAGCAAGAAGTTTAAATACAGAATTTCCCAGAATAGGTGGAACACAAAATATTAGACACTGGCAATGGAACACACAGTTTGAGGTCATCACACTCATGAGGTCTACATGTGGCCTACACACACAAATGCATTCCCTGTTTGGGATAAGGGGGAGAACAACTAAGAGAACTTGTACTTTTTTTTTTTAAACACATGCACAAAGAGTTGCTAGATTTTCTCAAATGTAACTCCTTGTGACAGTGAATATGCCTGCTTTTGTTCTACTGAAAAATACAACATTAAAATTAAGAACTGTTATGCTCATGGCTCTGCCTCATTAACTAAAAACAACAAATGATACTCTTAAGATCATTCTAACAGGGACATTAATAAGCTAACGAGCCATGCTTGTATCTACACATTAACTCTGTGGGGAATATTAAAAACTCATCTGGTAATTTTATGGTATTCACTTAAAACTATAAGAGCAATTTCAGATGGGACAAATGATTTCCCCCTGGGAAACTCCCCAAACATTCTGTTGAGCTGCTTCATCTGTCAAGCTGCTCCACCACAATATACATGATTTAAATGGTTATACAATTGTGAAGTACAAAACTCTAGTGGCATCCTTTTGTTTCTGCAATTACACCCCAGAAAACACAGCTCTCCAAGACTACTTCTGAAGTTATAAACCTGATGTGTACACAGTACTTAAACATTTCAACACATACCTTTAGCAGGAATTCCTGCAGCTCCTGGTGTGTTTTTGTTACACATGTTACTGACAGATCAGACCAGTTTACCTAGTAAGGAAGGAAAAAAGAATGAGGACAGTTTCTTTTTCCAAATATCACACCAGTTAGCTGATCTTAACGTTTCCATAAATCTGATGATCTCAGTGTAAGAGTTAACATTTGCAGATAAGTAAATACCCAGCAAAGCAGGAATAATGGTGTACTTTTTCAAAGACTTACACTAATTTTGAGTGTACATTTTAAGATCACCTTCATGTTATTTGTGGCTAGAGAGTATGAATAAATTCAGGTGAATGCAATGAAGCCCCTGAAGATTACTGACTTAGTGACTCAGAAAAAGCCAGGCAGAAGGTTCTGTAATCACAGGACATGTATTAAACAGGTATCATTAATCAAGTACCAGAGAAAAGGACTGTGGGTCAGACGTACTGGACTGAGCTCTTGATGCCATTATCACGGGGCAAAACAAAAAAAGGAATAAAAAGATCTCTCTTTGTTTATATCACCTACAAAGTAATTTTATCTGCCTCAGGCTTGAATCTTGCACAGTCATACAGAAGTTGCTGTAATTCATGAAAAGTACTGCAAGTTACTAAAGAATTAGACAGCGTTTTGGTATATGCTTGTATAAAATTTCAGTACTTTACTGTTCTGACACAACATGCAAGTAGTACAACAGCACCTTCACATGCGTATTTTGAGAAAAGAGGTAGTAAGCTTGGTTAGATGAGTGCTGCCTGGCTTTAAGCCCACTTCTGGGCTTAAGAATCCCATTACATGCATGGAAAAGTTCTGTGTAATAGGAGTGGACATGGCAATTGTAAACATACATTTACTCCCAAGAGATGTCAGGATAATGTCAACTACCAAGTGCCATCAGCTTAGAATCCAGAAATGCCAACTACTCTTGGTGGCCTTGGCTGGGAAGCCATGACTGTAATTGCTGTTGTAACCCTAAAAAAGCAGTGTCTGGGCAAGCACAGAATGATCTGCAGTGAGGAGCACAGTATATACCTGCACAGATGAGGAGAGGAAACTCTTTCCTAAAAGAACTGTGGTGAAGGAGTTTCAAGCTTACTCAAATACTTCCCAGAATATCTCCACATTCCCCCTTCAACAAAGAAATTCAAAACCACTGTCAAATCCACCTACGTGCTGAATTTTTAAATAGTTTTGTGACTTTAAATATTAATAAACCATACAGGCATTCTGTTTAAACATCTCCTATCTACTATTATATTTTACCTAGTAGTCAGTTCACAGACAAAAGATCTATGACTGGGTTGAGGTATGTGGACAAGTTACCCTTTAAGACATTAAAGGCTAAATTCCACATTACTGTCCTCAGCAAGAGTGCAAAATTGTTTTTGCAAATGTCACCTTCAGACACAATCTGGCAGGTATCTGTTGCCACTGCTTTGCTTCAAAAACAGAAGTAGCATACACGTCAATTTAAATTGAATTTTAAGCTTCTGGTAATACCAGGAAAGACAAAACTCTGTAATTTCCATCCATTTAGAGAATACAGTATCAAACTTTGGGATCAATTAATCAGTTTTCAGCTCAAAATGGCATTTTTTAAAGTTTGCCTCTTCAAAGAGCTCCCATGACCCATGCCAAACGGCCAGTTATAATGTTTGATCTAAAACATTATTTTGTTTGGGGAAAAAAGGTAAAATTTAATCTATGTTCAAATCTGGTATACAACCAGGCTCACATCTACTGGCCAAATGACTCAATGTGAGTCAGTCCCTGCTAAAAAAATTACTACTTTGATTCAATTAGAACATCACCACCAACAGCCTTAGCAGATATTCTTTAACACCTACAGCTTGTAATAGCAGACCTCAATACTGAAAGCTTTTTTTCTGAAGTAGTAAGAAGCAGTGTTTCAGTTTTGCTTTAAATTCACTCACATATTTTTTTTATATGTTGTTCATATGTTATATGAAGACTATACTAAGTAGGCCTTCAAGTCTGTTGATATTTTTTAGCTTGTTTTTACCTTAACAAACCTCAAAACAAAACAACAAAACCCACATACACAAAAAAACCCCCAACCAACTCCCAGTTTTGTCAAAAACCACAGGATTCATCCTCTTATAGATCTTTTTCATGAATTTTTACAAAGATGACCGTATGACTCCAAGCAATATATAACTGCAGAACTGCAGTCCTATGCTACTTCAACAAACAATCAAGTAGCATTCAAATTCTTTGTAATGCTTACCCAAACTTAGCAAAAGCCAAGTTTCCTGAAGTGATGTCACACACCCAACTATGGCTGGTGTTTTACACCTTCCCACCTTATACCCACAGCTACAGAAAACACCTGATCTGCACACAAAATCCAAGAGAATTCTAGGATAACTCCAAGAATTTCTGAAGACCCTAATGTAATTCAAAATTGCCTTCTGAGCAGGTATTTTAAACAAGCTGTATATATCTACAGTGCATAGATATCACAAAGACAATGATTTTAATATTCTAGAGGTCATTTGCTTACTTTGAATGTGTATTCCAAATGTTTGTCAGCCCTTTTTCTTGGTACTCCTTTCAGGGTTATCTTCTCAATGTGCACAGCTGAAAGAAAAACACCGTATTGTACAGAACAAAATTACACGTTGAAAATGTATCATCTTCTTACCTAGCCACTCTGAGAACCACTGTATGCTATTTACTGACGCACACAACCCTCCTTCTTTCTCAGACGCTATTATACTACAACAAACTGCAGGGGGCAGATGTAGCCTTGTTCTAGGCAATGTGTTTCTCTGGCCTGACCACAACCCCTTCATTGCACATCATGGGAATCTCTGCATTACCTAAGAGCTTATTGAGACCAAAAGTTACATAAATACAACAATATAGCCACTCTAAGTGAAAGGACAATGAAAGGAAGTCAAATTGCATCTTTACTCCAAGAAGTAAGAGGTGCTGATAAAATTCAGTGACAGTGCCTTTCATATCCACACTTCTGAAATTTTAAGTAGTAATAAGATCAAACTAAGGCAGAACCACCACATTTCTGAAAGGCACTTAGGTAGAAGGAAGCACTTGGGGAAGGCCTGATGGAGACAGAAGTGAGTGCTAGCAAACAGAAAATGAAGAGGAGAAGCACAAGGCTACTACGATTGTACTGTAAAGGGTATCATTAAATTGAACTGAAAAGGAAGATACTTTACAATATGGACTGCTTTAACTTTCCCTTCCACATAGTCCACTGCATTTGTGAACAGGCAAGTTCTTGCTGTGGCCTGATAAGAGGCAGCACCCTATGTCTTTCACAGTCTGGAGATTTTCTTGAGGACACATAGCATTGTTCAGGTAATGCTCTACAGAAAAATCCTCACATAGCTGAGATGGGCCTTCCACTTTTCCTGCTATGTTGGCCTAAAAATTCAACAGAATTTTCTTCTTTTACAAGCATGAACACATCTTCATATGTAAAAAGTGTTATTTCTATAACAGTTCGATCAGTCCTACATCATCAGTGCTTTCATTCAACGCTTCTGAAACTTCCTTTTTCAGGGAGAGGTGGGTGGCAGGCTAACATTTTCCTTTCAATTTTTAACTGCATGTTTACATGGGATATATTGGGAACTACTCGTAACAAAAAAAAAATTAAGCTCTGACAAGCAAAGCTTATTCTTGGAGATTAGCTAATCAGCATTTCATCTAACCTTTAATGAATTTTGTTAGAAGTTACAATTTAAGTATCATCCCCATCAAACACACCAGTTCTAAAAGAACTGAGTATTAGCAGTTTCCTTAGAGGTACAATAAGCCAGTGTATAAACCTAGTGGTAGTGTTACAGCTTCTAATTCTTTTAGTAGAAAGACCAACAAGTACAGAGTGTGCTGGTGTACAGCGGTTGTAACCCTCTACCTGGAGCTTAGAGTGTTAGCTCATTTTTATCAGTTAATGAAGGTTAGTTATTACAAGCAGAGAAATCTAAGCTGAGTTAAAGATGCCGTATAACATACATCTATATTCCACAAAAAGACAAAAGTTTAGTGATCTTAATTTTTACTTGTCTAGTATAGGTAACAGCACTGTTAGAAAAAAGCCTATGGTGCAATGTGAGTTTTGGTGCAGTAAAGTTTCTTAATGGCCAATGTTAAAATTTATACCATCAGTGGAGTTGATATTAATAAGTTAAATAAAAAGTTGATTCCCATGACTGCAACTGAGAATAGTGGTTTAAAATGCATTTCACTACATGCATATATTTAGCATACATAATTATGGAAACCAACACCATTAACATTCACAGACAAGCTGCTTCTCCAGCAACATTGTGTTTATTTTAAACTACTGAATGTTCTCAATGTTAAATATATTTGTCCTCAAGCATAAAGAAATTTTATTACACAATGTAGTATCTTCAGCTTCCTTAACTTCTTTTTGTTGCTGTTGCATACTTCATCGTAATATCTGATGTAACAGGTAATTACAGTGTTGCTGCTGCACAGCTTTAGGTCCACAGTTTCAACAGATCGCTTTAAAATTCTGATTCCACCATCACATTTAAATATTCTAAATGGCTAGACCAAGAAGAAATGTTTGAATATACAAGCCAATGAGGCACGTTACATCGCTACATCTATTTTGGACACAACACGTGCATTCAGGACAATTACGTGAGGCATGTATACATGACACTGCTTCCATTGTAAGTATAAGTTAAGATTGCTAAAAATCATTCATCACAGCTAAGAATAAACATAATGTTTTATTAATAGTGCTATTTCTAACCCACTAAGGAGATTTCTGTAGCTATCACATACCTACATAGCATATATCACAAAACTATTCTGACCCTTCACTGTAGTTTCTATGATAATATGAATGCTAAGGAATATTTAAGCTCTTCACTAGATTCAATTATTCAACTTTTCTAAGCTTCCCTTAATTCAAAAGCATAGCTAGAGTGTCCCTTTTGTGTTTCTAATTTGTGAGTATTAACACTTTGAACTCTGTAAAAGGATTTGAAACAGGTTTGTTTTCTGTAATCTGCCATAATCTCTCTGTGTTTTCTGCAAAGAATTAAAACTCTCAAATTGCCTGCCTTCAAAGTGTAATTAAATCTCCACAGTAGAGACAAAAGGACATTTATGAGGACAAAAGGAATAGCAATAGTTTTCCCAGAATGCCAGCTCTTCACTATCTGCAGGATAGTGTAGACTGATTTTGAGTAGACAAGTGATTTGCTAATCTTGCTGGAGAATAAAGGGTAAGAATAAATCTGTTTGTAATAATGCTCATTTCTTCAAAGAGAAGAAACTGTGCTGGCAATTGCACAGAAGAGTTCCATTTATGCTCTGAAGCCTTGTTCTCCTTCTCTCCAACAGAGTCAAAAGACGAAAGCCTCTCACTTCTCCAAACTACCACCTAATATGTGTTATTTCTTTGTGTGTTTTTTTAAAACTAATCACAAACAACTGAATCAGGCAGCAAAAGCTATCCACTGCTTCACAGCATCTTTATGTTTAGTTTTGCTTCAAAAATCAAAACATTGTTAATATAATGACATTAAATTTTCTTGTTTTCTCCCAAATTCCACCTTTCTCTTCAGGAGGAAGTCCATTTGCAATCAATTTTCATGCATTTTTTCACTATAGTTAGCAGCTAACAAGAATGACAACTTGTTATAACAAAGACAGACCAAGTAGGCAGCAGAGAAGCTATAACACTTCCCAAGCACTGCAGTTTCTCATTCAGATGAGCAGCAAGACAGATGCAAGATCTCTACAACTCCAGGCAGAGTTTAGCATTCAAAAAAATCATTAGTGTTCCTCAAAAGAAAACTCAGACAACATACCTTCTCGCTGAGGTCTATGGGAAGCCATTGGTAGTCCATCATGAGGTGCTGTGGTTCGTTCTAGCAAACTGGTCTCATTACTTGACATGCAGTCACTATGGGAAAAGTCATTCTAAATTGAGAAAGAAGAAAAAGAGCAAAGTGTTTTAATAGAATGTACATTATCAAAGCTTGCTCTAAACAGCAGAAATCACAAAAAAGAGTTTCTTATTTGGTATTCTACAGGAGAAATAAGTTCTTGACAGTGGCATAAAGGTGCTCATTAGCCATTTCAATTCTTATTTATTTATTTATTAAGGTCAGCTATAACCTCCAGAGTTTCACTGACCTTATTTTAAAAAAAGAACAGGGTGGGGGACAGATCATGTGCCTTCAGGGTATCTCAAGCTGGATAATTCAAGACCATTAGCTCAGAACTTCAGTTCTAATTTACTGTTAGTATGAACTCTTTCAATTACTAACCTGTGAAATCATCTACTCACTACACTCTAAACATATTCTCCTCAATTATATTCATGCCCTGTATTCTTCAGCCTGCCACCTCCTCTACATAGGAAATCATTAATAACTGTTCGGAGAGTCTGTCAGGACATAGGGTCCTAACAGCTAAATCCACGCACCTCTTACTAACTAAGCATTCAGAACGCAACCAGTTGCCACCAACACCCACTCTTCCATAGAGAAAAGGACAGACTGAAAGCTCATCTCCCCACACATTTGCATGCAGACTTCACAACTACTTGCCAAGAACTACTACTGTTTGAATACAATGCATAAGGATGGATAGAACAGGATCATACAAGACAGATAACATGGACAGGTAAGTAAGAGAAGAAAGAATAAACTAAACTAACAATGACAAACTACAGATAAGTATTAGACGAACATGGACTTCGGGTGGTTTCTCTAGAGTAACAAGAGCCTATATAATTTTTCCCCAAATTACAATAGAACATTAATGTATCGATTTACATGTTATTCAATGTCCAGATCTCGGTTAAAAAAAAAAAAAAAAATCACACTGGCCAACCAAGCTAAAATTCAGGAAAGTTTTAAATCATTCAATGACTTTAGACGCAACTGGTTTTGCCAGTTGACCAGTATAATTCTGTGTTTCGAGGAAATGACACGTTGCCTTAAAAGTATACAGCCAGAAAGAAATAGGTATTTCTTACTGGAAGTTACTAGCAAGCTTCTGGATTAATCTGTTTTAAGTGTTACAGATAAACAGAGGTGCCTCAAGTAGTATATCATATGAGCTTGACAAGTACCTAAATGCCATCAATACGCAAATACCATATTGATGGTGGTAGCAGCAGCAGCACACAAGAGGAGAGAAGGTGGTTCTCTCACCACAATGCTGTTTTGTATTAAGCACTGGAAGCTAAAACAGAGAGTAGGGTTCTTGAGAAAGCTTTCAAAAGCAGCAAATTAAATAGAGGACATTCAGTGTACTACCAATATTTAGCAACTGGTCTGCATGAAAATTAGAAGGTAAATAAATATCTATCTTATTAGTAGCTCTATAAAACAAAATTCCTGGGAGAAACTGATACTTTTTGAGGCAGATGTATATTGAAAGTTCAAAGTCTGCTCCTCTCATTCAGGATGAACACTGCTCCACTGAAAGACCTTCATAAAAGACTGGTAGAGGAAAAAGAAAAAGAAGAGTACTACCTGAAGATTTATAAATATAAGAAGTATAAGGATCTGGAAACAAGTGCCAGAATAGATGTAATTTATTTTTCTTTCCCTGAAGGACTTGTGCAACACAATGGGACAAACCAGCAGCCAAAACTAGTTACCCTGTTTGGTACAGATGACCCCAAGACTGTTATAACAGACAGATCAGAACAAGGAAGTACTGAGGTGTCAAAAGATAATGTAATCCCCTTGCAGTCTGTGAATTCTTCAAAGGACTTCTTCAGATTTGACAGAGACACCAACTAAAGCTTGTTTCACCTTACTAAACCAGCTCTACATCATCTGTAGCGTAGGTAAAAACTGTAGCAACTCCTAACAATACCTTCAATCATTTAGGACCCAGTAAATACATGCCCCGGGCATACTTTTAATGCGACTTTCATCAGTCACATCAACGGCAGTACACAGTTAGCAAGTTAACATCTATGTGCCTTTAGACTGCAGCACAGATTGTCTGAGGAACTGAGCAGACATTTTAGTTGTTTCACCTAATCCAGTGTATGGTTTGCGTTTTACAGTGTCAGAAACTGCATGTTTCAAACCAATCAGACTGAAAATATAGAGCATTATTTGTTTCTTCAAGATAAAACTCAAACCAATCCCAAGTCATTCAGTAAACAATGTCAGCAAAATTAACTTCAAAACAGTATTTCATGCTTCTAACACCTAATAAATTAGGAATGCAATGTCAGACTTGGAATGAGAAAAGAATATAGCTGTATATCAACGAGATTACATTTTAACAGCTTTAGCAAATTCTCAAGTTTAGTTTAATTTTAAAAAAAGTCACAAGGATGCTCTGGAGAGAGCCACTTTTAGACCTCCTCACAACTCCCACTGATACTGGTTTGTCAGACATTTCTTAACAACTGTGGACATAACCAAACCCAAATACTTCACTTTCAAGGTGTCAGCTCCTGGTCATGCATTATTCACAAAACTGTTGGCATTTGAGTATTAAAGTTGCCTTTTGAGACTGTGATTCAAGACTGCCCATAAAAGGCACTACTACTACCATTAACTGCCTGCGTCCAAACTGTGTAAGCTAACAAATTTAGTACATAATTTGGTACAAGAATGAATGTCTTCATGACATGAAATCAAACAACTGAACCAAGATTTCCAGAGAAGATCAGCGTCAATTCTCTGGCAGAGCTACGGTCTTCCTTAAACTACAGCCACATGCTTTGCCAAAAGCAACTTTGATATCTTTCTTCCACACTGCATACAGAAGATGGCAGACATTTAGATTAACAGAAGCTCTCAAACTATTCAATTAGCTTTACTTCTCTAAGATGCCTTTTTCCACCTCTGAAAACATGATTGTAAGAGCTGAAAGCAGTGCTTCAGTCATTTTAAAGAACGAGCTGAGACTTCCAACCAGTCAAGTATTTTTAAAAAAAAAACCTCACAAATGGATCCAAAAACAAAATTTAGTCAGACCTTCTTTTGCGTGTTTTGATGAATGAAAAAAAAAAATACAATCTATTCTAATAAATAATTGCCAGTTAAGAAGTCAAACAAATTGTGAATGGGTTTTAGAAGATAGATGTAGAAAGAGATAAGATTTACTTCAAAGATGTATTCTGCTCAGCTCATGTCAAAGCAGCATTAAATAGCGCTGCTCCATCACCTAATACTAGAAAACTGCTTCTCACCTAGCACATACATCATCTTTGTAACAGTGCTCATATATTTTTGCAGAGAATTATTCTAGAATGGTTACTTTTCCTTCCACAGCACCCTCTAAATTGCAAAATACTACATGGTTCAAACGTGTAATTGAACAAGCACTGACATCGATGATTTTATAAATCATCATAACTGTAAAAAAGTTCATAATTTATTCACTTGAAAAACCATTCACCTACAAAGTTAAGCCAGTGATATGTACTGCGTGCATTCTGTGAACGATAGCTTTCACAATACACACTGGAACACAGTGGAACACAGGAGACAGACAGCGAGGTAATCCAGGGCACTCAGAGCTTTACCTTACAGCTTACAGCCTGCCAGGGTTGCTTTCTGTGCCAGCTCCAGATCCTGTCTGAAGCTGCATCACAACTCTTCACATTTGGTGTTAGCTACTGTGACAGCCCTACCTCACACACTCACAAGTACTACAGTACAAGTGGCATCGTCAGAGCGGGCAACTCGAGCATGCAAGTGTCTGGAAAGTCAAGGCAGCGTGGAGGCTCACTGGATATTGACAACGTGGGTTGTTACCTAGTGCTGGCCACACCACAAACACAAGTCCTTGAAAACTTGGTATGTTGCCAAGGAGTTCCTGTCTATGGTCATGCTGTAGAGCACTAATTGTGCTAGTCATTCCCTGTCAGAAAATAAAATGTATCCACGCAACACATGCAAGTGTAAGGTTAATGCTTGCATAAGCCTCTGTCACTGTAAGGCTTTCACATGCAAGGATTGACTGCAGCTCAAAGTACTACTGCTAATGACTAAAATACAGTGCAGCAAGAAATGTGGGTGACGCCAAACCAGCTGCCAGATAACTAATTTGAAAATCATACAGATCTCTGTGACAGGCTAGAGGATCAACTATGTTTCTCCTTGAAAGTGAAATGAGCTAAGAGAGCACTTTAAAAATTGTCTGCTCTCACAATCTAGACTGAAGTGTTGCATCCGAGACATCATTCCTCATATGCTTGAAAGCAAGTACTATATTAAAAAAAACACCTATCACTTGAGATGTTTCCCATGACTGTAAAGACAAGCACCAAACATCTAACATGGAAAGCCATCCCATTCGGAAGGGTGCTGCTCCGTGTAACTCATATATGAGCTTAGTAAATCTCTGCTAGTCGACACATGACAGATGTCCAAACTGTCTTCTATTAAAGTAGATGTCTGATCAAAAAAAATCACTTTGGTATTAGTTTAGCAATATTTAATGCAATCTGTTATTGGACAGCTACTAATCACCATGAACAAGTGATCGATGCACATCAGTCTTCTGATGTTTGCATCACACTTTCATGAAAGAGCTATTCATGCAGCAGCTCTGATGAGCACTAACAAGGGAAACCTGCTTGCAGCATCTTGACAGTCTGATTAGTTCTACATGCTCACAAATGAAAGCTTATTTTTCTGCAAGGCTTCAGTAAGTGTGCTGTTAGGGAAGGCACTACTTAGCCTTGCAGGCTGTGCAGATGTAAACTGGCACAGTTCATTCATTCATGTACAAGTGGGAACTGGCAAACAAAACCAGATGAAAGAAGGCATCTTGGAAAAATCAAAGTCTAACTCATGATCACGAGTTATCAACTACAGTAACTGTACCTTAGAGAAATTTGAGAGATGGCAGAAAAATCATTAATAGATGTGGTGTCAGTCACAAGACTCAAGCCATGACTTGCTTAAAACCATCCTCACAAGCTACCACC